CACCTCAGGCCTTATTATCGATCATGACAGACGGTCTCAGTTGGCTGAGATGTTAAGTGTATTCATCGACACATTTTCGCACAATTGAAAGTTTTGATAGTCCCGGTTGTTGGTTGAATTTGGCAGACAGATTCAATGTTCCTAGTATAACAACAGAAAACAAAAGATGCATTATTTTAATGTAAACGAACCATTTTCTCCCTAAAGACAGTGCACTGGCACGGCACTTACAACCGGACAACAGTCCTCTCCATTGAATTTTGCCAATTGAATAAATGTTTCTTACTAATACGAAGTGAATTTCTCTAGTAGCATTTTTTACAAGAATGCCGATCATGATGCAAATAACACATTATTAGTTTGGTATCGATTTGGAACAGTATCAAGCGGCACGATTTTGTCCTTCGTTAATGTAATGAAAGACCTCACAGGATAAAGATCACACTTCAAGCAATTTCCTAGAAACAACAGTCGCGTACGCTCAACTGCGAATTTGAAACGTGATTTCAAAATCGCCGTTGAGCGTAAGCGACTGTTGTTTCTAGAAAATTCCTTGAAGTGCGATCTTTATCCTGTGAAGTCTTCCACTACATTAACGAAGGAAAAAATCGTGCCAAACATGATTTTTATCCAACCACGGTGATAACGTGATTTTAAATTAGTGCTCTATTGCCCTCTCTACTGTAAGAACGATAATCGGTTGGGATTTTCAGTTCCGGATGAGGATGAAGATCGAAAACGATTTTCGAACCAAATCTTTCGAAAGGTGTCTATGTAGACCAAATGCATTCTTTTTTTTGCTAGGGCAACCGGGAATAGGTAAGGTTGAAGCAATGACTGCTTCACGGATTTTCTACCTGTGTCGTGTTAACGTTACATTGACAACGAGATAGCGCCATGCAATCTCACAACTGCCGGCAAATGTATGCAATATGTTTTCCTCTTTTACAAAATTATCATAAATTTCTCCTAACATAAACATGAAGTCCTGATTGGAATAATGGTTGTTAACTTTCCCTAGCTCGGACGCAGTTTGTAAGATTTTGAAACAAATCTGTTGCAATCATCGCATTTTTATAATAATACACCTTAAGCATATCGGAGCTTGTAGTCACATAGCAGCTGTTCACACTCCGGCCTGAATGCAGTATTTCTTTTACGGTGACCCCAACAGACAAATTAGAACTCACGTAATTCTGTCGCGCCCTACCGTTGACCTCAAACGTGCCCGGAACGAAAAAAAAAACTAATTACATCTGTCTATGTCTACACGGATTTGTTCGGTATAACGTGCAAGCCTGTGCAAGCCACGCGTGATATAGTACACACACACACACACACACACGTACGTACGCACCAACACACTCACACACGGGCGCACACTCGCGTGGCACAGATTTCCGTCACTGCAACTAACTGGCAAACATGTGACCTTCACCCAAACGCGGCGTTTTACTGACTTGGTCTCACGTTTGCTTTTCCCAATACAGTGATGAATACTGACCTCGTATCGGACGCGGAAACGGACATAAAGGAAGTGGATAATACTCTTCTTCTCCTCCATCCCGACCTCCCGCCC